CCTCTGTTTTTTGCCGTCAAGTATAGTCATTTTTTAAACTCTGACCTGTGCAGCTTCTGGCCACTACTATGAATCTTACGCTACGGACACCGTATCGCTCCATCGTTTGTAGCCCTACAATTGGGGTTGTCACTCATGCTTAAAAGTATTCTCTTTTGAACTGAGGTCTTAAGGATTTGGACGTAGGTGACCTAACAGAACGGAAGCAGCTGCGAGAGCGCCTCAAGTGCAAATCTTTCAAATGGTACCTGGACAACGTGATTCCGGAGAAGTTCATACCCGATGAGAATGTCTACGCCTATGGACACGTCCGAACCGAACGAGGACTCTGCCTGGATACTCTTCAACGACTTGAAAATAAGGTTTGAAAGGGGAGCTCTGTAGGCATTGGAATTATTCATCATATTTGGTTTTCTAGGGCCCAGTGGATCTCGGCGTGTTCAACTGTCAAGAAGGCGGTAGCTCTGGCTGAGGTCAGTCTACTTTTTTTGATCGTTAAGTTCCGGAGGGCAGGAGATTCGAGTTGCGACGACGCTTCGGAGCTCCAATTACAGACGCTCTTAGCTTCAACACTCACTGCATTTTTCAACTCTCACTGCATTTCAGATGTTCTCATTGTCGAAACAGCACGAACTTCGGAGAGAGGCGACCTGTGTGGATATCGGGAAGAGCATCAGCTCTGGTGTATACAATGCGCAACTAGTTGATTGCTCAGAAATGAACATCGTCGGATTCGAACACACTGAGGTTTAGTTTCAGCACTGAAAGAGTTTTTTGGATTCCGGGGTGCGTTTCGTAGTTGCCCTTAAAGGCAGTTGGCACGATGGTTTCTACTCGGCCTAAAATGCTAGTAGGGCGCTGTATAGTGGGGAAATGGCGAAAGAACGGAGTGAAACGGTCAAAATCCTGCGAGAAAAAAGAAGAAAGAAAAAGCCTCCGTTCTCAGTGACTTGTAAATCGATTTCGGACGAGTTTCCCGTAGGCATCTTACCAATCACCGCTACCGAAGATACGGCTGCATATGTGTACCCATGTATGCATGCAGCATCACGGCCGCTTCATACCAATCCCTTCGCTTCATAATTTGCTTAGCAAATGAATGAATACGAGCGTCACTTCAATAACTTGCTCTAGCCAATGAATGAATGCACACGCGTCTGGAGGCAGTCCGTCCATTTGTGGCGGCGCGGGCATGGTGGGCGTTTGGATACGTAAAGTGTGGCTTGGGTATGGCCTTTACCATGGGGCACTTTCTCGGGGGAATCCTATGCCAGTGCCTGCCCAGGTCGCGGAATTCTATCCTGCCAGGAGTATTGATCTTAGTCGTCTTGGGGGATTTATCGTACCAACTGCCTTTAAGGGTGAGCCTGAATAGTCCATACTATTTGTGAAAAGGAGGCTTGTTCGACCTTCCGGAACCCATAGCACCGAGCTCGCAGCACCGAGCCCATAGCACCGAGCTCAAAATCTCCTCAAAACAGTCATTTTCTTGTACCACTGTGTGAAATTCATTCAGGGCGGTTTTCTTCGGCACAAAGAACGAGGACTGTGCTTAGATGTAGAAGGAGTGAAATCAGGTGGTGATGTCGTTTTCCCACACCAGCCTCGACACCGCAAACACAAGCAGCCAAAGATGGAGATTCGATCGATATTTCCAGCTGGACTAATTTCTTCAGGCATTTTTTGTTGTTCTTGTTCCTATATTTATGATGGGTGGTTCACTGTGATATTTATATTCGGGCATTTCTTCTTTTTGTTGTTTTTGGTCTGTTCGAAGGCCTTCTTTTCATAGTCATATTGAAAGATTCGCTATCGGCGGATAACTGATATTTGAGCCGCTACTACCCCTGAATAGAATGAGAAAAAGACACTGTTTGGGATGGCGCATCTTCCAATAAGCATTTTGTGAGAATCAATTTTGGCTAGCTTTTTGAGACCACAGCTGGTTGGGGGCGGGGAACACGTGCAGCAAGGGCGCTCTGATCCTGAACGTCTGGCGTTCCCTGAAACTGGACGGAAATGATCACTTGGTGACGGGAGCAGATGAGCAAGCCTAGCCGCGCTGCCCCTTATCGTCGTGTACCTAATAGAGCGCCATTCTTTGGCGAAGTAGCGCATTTAGATGTCATTGACATTCTGTCTTTTATCGCTGTCTTTTATGGAGAGACATTAGCACAATGTACCTCATTTTCTAAAGGACTGGGTACAGTAGTTTAGCTTAAGTATGTACGTTAAAAACACATAATGATAAAGGGGAAAGTTGACCAGCCGACATGCTAATTTTTGCCGATACTTTTTTGAAAGAGTTGCACTTAGCCCCCAACGATGCCGCGACCACGCCTCAAAACAGACGTTTCATCCGCTCCGTCTGCGTCTCATTCCTCTTTTCGTGTTCTCTCTTTCTCTGGAGTCTCATTATCCTCGCTTCTCCAGCTGATCGACACAACGGCACATGTGCGATTACGCGACGTAAGAGGCCTCAGCAATTAAATCCGATCCACACACTGTCCCCTTAATGCTCCCGCAGCTTAGCTCGAGATAAGCGTTGGCGCCCACAGTTGTCATTCGCGCACGACACTACTCTATCAACAACTTGCTCCACCATCATGGGGTTACGAACGCTATGGTGTTCCTAGACCAATAAATGCCGGATATGTTGCGTTCATTCTGTGTGGACCAACCTGGTGTTTCTCTCATCTTCTGTTCATCTATCTGTCAACCTATCACCCTCTGTCTCTTGTATCTCACACGCATAACAGTTCTCCCCCCACTCCCGAATACTCGCCCATTCCTGCGACCGTTATTTCAAGCGCTTCACTGATTAGTGTCACGATTTCATATTTGAGCATCATAGCCACGAGTTTCAATAGCGGAATGCATCATTGAACCTGGACACTGATAGAAGACTAAAAAAATAACCTTCTACGGTGAAGATGGCTCCGAATCACGTTATGAGACAGAAACTGTTCGTTCTCGATGGGGAACTGCTTATACAATGGAGACATCCTAGTTGGTATCATTGGTGCGATCCTATTGACATGACCGGTTCTGGAGGCGGGGAAGGCGGGAGGTGGGGGGGGGGGTACGGGAGTGTTCGTCATGTCGTGTGTCCACACTGGTTGGCTATCAAGGTGAGTGGAAGAGTGTCGAAAATCTCACAGGTCTTACGAGTGAGCGCCAGACGTTCTGGTTCCCTCCCTTTCAGGACTTTAATGGAAACTTGGAAAGATCGTGAATCAACCGAATCGGTTTGAAGTGAATGGTTGTTCGAAAGGTGCACGATTGAGTGGGCGGAGACCCTCTATCGTTGTGCTTTCCTCACTGGAACGCCCTCGTGAAAAGCTTCTAGGGGAGGGGTGTGCGCCCGTAAAGAGGTACAATAGGTTCTCCGCCCACGTTTCCGGTCGGGCGACCAGTGTAGACTGTGTCCTTAAGTCTCGAAATCTGCGCTCATCTCAATTTTGGTCCTTCTTACTGTCCTTAGACTATTGTATAGAGAATCCCGGGAGCAGCTATGATGAATTGCCAATGTTTTGTGCGTATTCCGTGATGAAATGCTTATTGCTGAGCTCATTGATGTCGTAAGCTTATTAATTGTATCAATAAACAGATCCATAATATTAATATCTTTTTTTCACGATAAATTTGCAGCATAGCAAATTTGAAAGAAGATAGAGTTTCTGAGAGTAAACTGGGAAGGTTATACACAAATCTTTCAAATTCGGAGGATTTTTCGTTGTCGTCGTCATCATCGAACGGTGGCGGATTCATTCGTAGAGAATATTGTTCAGCGTTGGGAACCATTTGACCGTACCTCTCCAATGTAGAATGACTACGACTGTCAATGACGATGTAGCCACTAACATGAGAAGTAGAACGATTATGAAGCAAAGAATGCATCCCTAGAATGCACATAGTTGACTTCAGAAGATGAACAACTCCTAGGGCACAAAAATGGCGGTGTTCGGCTTGGAGGGAGCATTTTGCACTCCTGCTAATACAGGGTACGCTCGTTGTGATCACCGACAAAGCGGGGGGGGTCTACTCGGTTCAGAAAAAAATTGTTTTGATAGTTGATTTCTCTTGTTTCACGGGCACGCTTTTAAGAGGCGGGGGGGGGTGTACGGTCATTTTGGAGGAGGGGGGTCGTATTGATCAGTCCAGGACGCACTACTATTTCGACACTTGAATGATTGTTCAATTTGATGACCTCCACGGATGGAGCAGGCAAGGATCTTTGGGAAAAAGTAGTCTCCCCGCTCGAGGACTCGGTTCGTGATGCAAGACGAGGGCTGGGAGGGGGTTACCAACTCCAAAGGGGTCGTGTTTTAGTTTATCGTGTTTTAGTATGGAATTAGGGGGGTCGTAATTCTCAGAATGATCACAACGCGATGGCGTGCCCTGGCTAATACGTTTTGTTAGTGCATATGAAATAACAGGTTTCGCCAAGTTCAAACCTGTAAACTCCCATGAAACTGCGAAGGGATACAGTGAGTCACATTAGTTACAGGAGTTTATGGGTCTTCACAAGGTAATCTATACAAAGCTAGCTGAGAATCACTCGGTGCCCTCCCCCTCCAGGCCGGAGAGCTCGTGAAAGATTGATGATATAACTTTCACATCAGCGACTGTTTACGGCTAATCTTACCCTAAATAGTTCGACTCGACCTACTCAGAATCAAAATTGTTTTCAGCGTGCACTCCGCCTCTCTTGGAGAAGCCCCACCCCTCGTCGTACGTGCTATCCCCTTAGAAGCTGCCCGCCGAGTCATGCTCCACCTACTTGTTTAAGACGGTGGGTAATATAGGTAGTTGTGTGCGTGCGCTTAACACTTCCCATATCCCGTAGACAAGGAGGGCGTGACTGCGCGCCCTTGAAAGTGACAGTGGTGGCGCTTTCGGTGAGATATTGTCATAATGGCACAATCGTAGTCATGTATTTGTTCAACACAACACAGCGTGACAGTGTCGCAAATGGAAAATATCCCGCAAAAAAGAAACGCATCGTGACATTCAATGTAAAGTACGCGGACGCGCTCACCTCACCTTCAGGATATGGAGTGTAGTGAAGACTAGGAAAATGTGGAAGAAAACTAGGAAATGTGTCCTTATGATCAACAAAAGACGCGACACGAAATACGCGCTGGTAACTCCCCC